CCCCCCCCCCCCCACCCCCCAGTTCCTGCTGCTGTGCCCCCTCTTGCCACCGCCTCGGGGGGCGACCCGCTTGCCGTGCGCATCAGCGAACACGGCAACGAGTAGCACGATAGCATTCTAGCAGCAGCAGCAGCAACCGCTAACCCTGACCGCTCCGTTCCTGCTGCTACTGCTGCTCGCCCTAGCACCGTCGCGAGCGGAGCGGGGGCCCCGTCTCGACTTCTTGTCCTCCCCTCCCTCGCTGCTGCTGCTCTCCCTGCCGCCCCTCGAGTCATACTCCTGAGCGCGGGGGGGAAGGGGGGGGGCTTCCTCTCTGCAGCAGCACGAGACACCACCTGTTCCCGATCGGGTTTTCGGAGTTCAGGGGGAATATATACGGCGTGGGGGGTGGAGCGGTGCGAAGGATGTCAGCAGCAGCAGCAGCAGCAGCAGCAGCAGCAGCAGCAGCAGCAGAAAAAAAGACCAAAACCGACGGTCGCTACATGCTCGCCTAATGTTGCTGCTACTTCTACCTGTCACAGATTACTGCTGGAGTCCCGTCTAGATGGCGTTACGAGACACAACCTATTCCGGATCGTTCTTCTTCGGCGAACAGGCGGTGTAGGGCGTGGGGAGGGGGGGGGATGCGAAGGGTAGCTTTTCATCGTACAGCAACCTAGCGCTAACCGTGCGCGGCAACCTAGCGACGTACGCTTACTTGGTACAGTGACCTATTTAGTATGCTGAGGGTTCGCCACAGGTGATCCGAAGGACATCGGTGATCGGGGTATGTTTGTCAGAGGTGATCTGACGGACATAAGTAATCGGGGTATGTTTTCCCGAGTAGCTCAGGGTCTGTCCTTGTGTGTAAGGGTGTCAGCAGCAGCAGCAGCAGCAGCAGCAGTAGCAAAGGGCCGATGGAGAAACGACGGTGGATACCCCGTAGTTCTGCTCTCCTGATGTTCGCTGCCACAGCCTGGGCCAACACTAGGCGTGTCTACTCATGTATCCCCGTCTCGATGGCGCTAAGGCCAAAAAACACCCGCGTATTTTGAACGACTTGTCGTGCGCTCGGCTATTTGTCTGCGACAGGGAGGCCGCAGCCAGAGCCTGGCGATGTGGGCATGTGCCCGCGCGGGTATTCAATTTTAGGGAAAACAAACACAAACACAGAAAGACCACTACCCGTTCGAGATAAAACCACAGCAGTCGAACGGGATGTGGTGGAGTCTTTACGGCAGTGAGTGGAGGAAAACCGGCTGGGTACTGGACTATACTTCGAGTTATTAAGCATGTTTGGCAAGCTGGGTTGCTCCCGTGGTACCGTGAGGGCGGACGAGACGTGTGTGATGTTGCGTCCATCTATAATCCAGACGGGGCTCGGACGATGTGGGCATGCGCCCGCGTTTTCAATGTTTGGCAAGTTAAGTTACTCCTACATGTATACAACCCTTCCCGGGAGTACCGTTCACCTACAGTACGTGCACAAGCGTTGGCAGTCGTTGCACCTGTCGTCATGGAGACAAACCTACAATACACTGTAAAATACACTGCAAAGACTTCAACACATCCCGTTCGACTGTGGTCGTATCTCGAATGGGGAGTCTTTCTGTGTCTGTACATATTCACGTTTCCTACAAGTATTACATGTAAAGCCGGCGGAGAGAGTATCGCACGGAGTAAACCGCTGCTGTGAGGGGGAGAGAATCTGGGATGGCTCTTGACGACCACCCCGTGTACTCCCACACACGTTACAATCCGGCCAGCAGTGCACAACCACAGCTCCTCCCTCTGGTGCATGGACAACTGTAGCTGTGCTGGGAAGTGCAACAACAAACCTGTTGCCACATGGCGCGGTGTACGAGGGCACCGATGACCTATCATTGACAAACAGGCGACCAACACACGTTATTCTTTAGGCAGTGGAAAGGGTGCGCCTATTACGAACAGCAACGGCAGTACAACAGTAGTCCCGACCTCCGCCTCGTTTGTGCAGGAGCAACGCTTACCTACTTGTGTATGCATACCATATGTGCCCAAAGCGAGGGGTTGCTCTGGACACAAGCGCG